TATTTTTTTCTTGCCCCCCCCCCCCTTTTTTTTTTTTAGTAATAAATAAGGTGAGGAATACCTATGGTAGGTATACAAATCATTAAAAATACAAATAAATCTTGGCATTTCAAATGATCACTTGACCACTTCTGGTCCTCTAGTCTTCTGAGAAACATCTCTTCAATCTGGATACCTCACAGAGGTGCCTACAGGACATAGAGATGGCATTATAATTCATCCAGTGGGGACTACACAACTTCAGGAGGATACACAGGGTGAGAGAGATTGGTTAGGGAAAAGAGAGGAGCAGGCATGGGAGAGACTGATGATTGAACTACAGACCATTCTCCATCTCTGCAAGGCCAGGGACACGGGGTTGTGCTCTTTTGCCACAGGCTGCCCTGGGGACCTCAGGGCTTTTCGCCAGATCCACGCAGAGGTAACCAGCACTCAGGAGGGCATGTTTTAGTCTGGGCTTGGCAATGGGCCTCCAAGCTCCTGGCTGCAGTGTTGCACATAACCTAGCAACCTCAGTACCGGTCTATGGTGACTTTACCCTGTCGGATGCTGAACTTCCTATAGGAGAGTGGGAATGGTGTCAGCAGTTTTTGTTTGAGTCTTTATTTAAGTAAGATCTCTGAAATGAGCATTGGTTGTTCTTCTTTGATCTGTTGCAGGAGATACAGAGTTTGCTCACTAACTGGAAAGGGCCAGACCTCACAAGTTACGGGGAGCTGGTGTTAGAAGGAACATTTCGCATTCAGCGAGCCAAAAATGAGCGCACGTTGTTCCTCTTTGACAAGCTGCTGCTAATTACAAAAAAGAGAGATGAGATGTTTGCATACAAAGCTCATATACTGGTATGTTGGAGAGCAGATTGGTCATGTGCTGACTCTGGGTCTCCTCGAAACTCCTCCATGACTCACACCGTTGCCTCTCTTTGTTACAGTGTGGGAATCTAATGCTTGTTGAAGTAATACCAAAGGAACCACTTAGCTTTAGCGTCTTCCACTACAAAAATCCCAAGATGCAGCATACTGTCCAGGTATGACAGAAGCCTCCCTGCCTACTGGGTAACCTGACTAATGACTGCGTGCTGTTCCTGAGCCTGCATAGTGCAGTAATGCATTTTCTTATGGTGCTACAATTTTACTATTATTTTTTTCATCAGGCAAAGTCACAGCAAGACAAGCGTCTTTGGATTCTTCACCTGAAGCGGTTAATTCTAGAAAATCATCCTGCTAAAATTCCTGCCAAGGTAAACATTAAAAAAACCAACAGCAACAAAAAAAACCCAACCCAAACCACTGCCTCCTTGTACATGCATTTAACTTAAAGCAATCTAGTTAGCTGCAAGACGGATGGCAATTTACAGAAAGTTTAGACTCCAGGAGATTATGATGTTGTGTTCTTGTGTCTTTCAAAGTTCCTCAAAATTAATGGGAAAGTTCTACTAAACACAGCTACTGAGCTCGGTACAGGAGTAGAAGAATTTAACTGGGTTAGCAGCATTGCTGTCCACATTAGGATTTGCCTGCTAAGACATGAGTAACAGAGATGCAATGTCACTAAGCTCTGCTGTAAGAGCGTACCTTGGCTTGATACTGCCTGTCTGCACAACTCCGAGGAGTGCTAATTGCACCATGCGTACACGTTACCAAGCTAAGTTTAATCTGTCTTGGTTAGATATCATAGCAGTGAAGTCATTAGCAGTGCACACTTCACTTTACAAATACACACACCCATGCTGAACCCTGCATCCTTAGCTGGGATGTCTGAGCCCTTTTTGGTGAGATAGCTAGCAAGCTTTATGCCAGAGAAAATGAGGCCCTGATATCATATCTACCTACAAGAAACCTGGAGAGGGACTGTTTACAAGGGCATGGAGTGACAGGACAAGGGGTAATGGTTTTAAACGAAAAGAGGGTGGCTTTAGATTAGATATAAGGAAGAAATTCTTTACTGTTAGAGGGGTGAGGCACTGGAACAGGTTGCCCAGAGAGGTTGTGGATGCCCCATCCCTGGCAGTGTTCAAGGCCAGGTTGGGTGAGGCTTTGGGCAGCCTGCTCTAGTGGAGGGTGTCCCTGCCCATGGCAGAGGGGTTGGAACAAGATGATCTTTGAGGTTCCTTCCAACCCAAACCATTCTATAATTCTATGATATTCATAGCTGTAATGTCTAGGAGTAGGGAAACCTGGTCCTTTATTTATGAAATCCTGTCTTAGAGCTCCAGGTGATGTTTCCCACTGTAACATATTGCACCTCTCAAGGGTTGTTAACCCTAGCTAACTCTTGCCGTGACACAGCAGCCACTGACTCTTGTGTGGAAGCAGGATTTTTTTTCTGATTTTTTTTTTCCCCCCCACTGAGTTTTACTTCTGGGTTGTGGATTTTTTTCAGTATTAGTTTCACTGATCAGTTTCCCTGGCTTTTTTTTTTTTTCACTGAGTTTTATGCTATAATGGCTCAAAAAATGTTACCTATGACCTGGCATACACAGTGCTGTACTAACTCTCATTTTCAACAAAAAGAGAATTATGGGACAAAAAAGCCCTAGCAGTTGTTATTACTAATTCTCCTCTTATCTTTTTGTTGACAGAGTTTATCAAAGATACAATGTTAATGCTAGTGTCCAAGCTTACAATGTAAATACTCCTTGCAGTTTATTAGGTTGTAAAAAGAAATGCTACAGCATGATCTCAGCTTTTCTGTCAAGATTTTTGCTTACTACTTATTGGATATTTTTCTATCTGTGAAAAAAAGTGTACCAAAAATATTTCTGCTCATAGAAATAGTTTAATTTGAGAAACAAAAAGTGTAACCAAATAAATCTCTGAGGTTGTCTGCACTTTTTTTTTTTTTTTTTGGACAAACCAGTACTCACTAGCTATGAGACTTCTCTCTGTCGGGATTTCAGAGTATTTACTAGTAGTCCACGTGTGACACCTGGTGGAAAATTACTGAACTGCACCTGTAGAAGGGCAAGCAGGTTAGGTAGGCTATTTTATTTTAGTTTTTTGTACTTATTAGCTAATATGTGTGAGAAAACATTCAGACTGTTTTTCCTATTAAAAAAACTGACAAATTTTAAGCAATCATGTCATGAGATGCTTTTTATCCTGGTTCAATCTTACTTAAACCAAATGATGGTTATTTTCTTAATAGCTGTTCCCCAAGGAAACTGTTAAAGGAAGCAAGGTTGACAGTGTTTTCTGTGCCAACAACTTCAGAATTGAAAAATAATTAAGGAGTTAAAACTATTTGATTTTTAGGGAGGAAATGTTCTGTGAATCACAAAAAACTTGTGATTCCCAGATACAAGGGCCAGTTTTGTGCCCATCCCAGCAGTATGGAGAGGCATATCAATGGCTTTAAATTCTGGGACTTGTAGAGAGATCTCCAGAGATTTTTGGCCCCATGGAGGAGACCCAGCATGTACAGCATGATCTCAGCACAGCACAACCCCTGTCTTTGAAGCCAAAGTAGTTTTTGTGGTCAAATGTGCCATCACTACATTCTCCAGAAATATCTCTCACCAGTTGTGCCGTAGGTACACGCGCCTCCCCTTGCGCTCCCAGGAGGGGAGGTAGGCACGCAGCGCAGAGCTCCCGGGTGCAGTGAACAACAGGGGTTTGTGTGAAGCCCTGAAGATAAGCTCTGCTAAGCTCCTGCCAGCCAAGTAGTTCTTTGCATATATAACATGCCCAGCACACAGAGAAAGACAGAAAATAACGCTGCTAACTATATTTATTAGTTTAAAAATTAAGCTTGCTTTTGTTTGCATATAAACTCTGTAATATGCAACGCAATTTGTCCTTCTACTTACAGTTTAACTTTTTCATTTTTTGTTTTTTTCTCTTTCAGGCCAAACAGGCAATTCTGGAAATGGATGCCATACGTAAGTTGGTTCTTTTTCATTTTTAAAAAATAATAAAACCATCCTCAAAAGTTTGGCTGTAACTATTGCTTTCATCTGAGGTGGAAGAAGGCTGGGCTTATGTTCCTTAAGTTATGACATTGCTGGAAAAAATGAAATTGGGTGCAGATCCTGTGGAGCTCTGTAGGGACTGGGCTGACTGATCTGCAACCAACAAGTTCTGTTGGATGATGAGCAAGGAAGAGGCAGATTAGACTTTCTGTAAACTGTGGCCACTCTCTTTTGCTTCTTCCGTGCTGACTAAACACATGATTTTTCCTGTTTTGTAGCCTAAGCTCCTTCTGGCTAGGACACACCAAAGGGCTAGCAATAAGCAAATGCAGCTTGAAGTATGTAGCAGTATTATGGCTTATTTGTGCCAGCAAAGCTGCAGCGGGAGGACAGCGAGGGAAGCTGCCAGCTGCTCACCGCACTGTGCACGGCCTCTCTGGAAGGGAAATGAGGAAGCCCAGCACCCCTGCAGCAGCAGCAGCAGCGAGGCTGGTTGCTCCAGGCGTCCTCCATCACCCTGCAGTCCAGTTAGCACAGCAGCTGCTCTCCTGGCTACGGCAGAAAGCAACTGCACCCGCAGAACAGCCCCCAAAAAAGTCCATGCTGGGACCCAGCAGGCTTGTGCTTGTGTCTGAAGAGTTTGCCTGTGTGTGTCCCAGGAGTCAGGGCTAGAGAACGTGTTGGGTGCTGCTGTCTGCGCTCTGAGTGCAGTCCCATCCGCACTGTCCGGGCTGCTGCATCTTCTGCTGGTGCAAGCTGCGTTAGCTCTTCATGTTGCCAGGGATCCTTAGGAGCGTAGGGAAATGAGAACAGTAGTCCTATGATATAAATACTGAGGAAGTCTTGGAGTAAAGCAGGGTTGTTATTTACTTAGGTAGTTGTATTGGTCAGGAAGGCTCTGACTGAGAAACTGGCAAACAGACATGATGACGGTGCATAAATGTTGCTGGGTTAGCCATCTGGAGCAAGGCACAGCTAAATGAGCAAAGCATTTCCATGGCTGGGTGGTTACAGCTACCCTACAGCAGCACACCACCCTGCTTGGGTTGCTTCAGGCTCTGATGAAGTGCCACTTTGTCATTCACAAAGGGATGATGGCACTGCCTTCCGTGTGAAGTGACACCCTTGTCACTCTCTTATTTCTTGTGCCTCTACTTGTTCCACAGATCACCCAGGCTTCCACTATAGCCCGGAGGGAGAAATGAAGTCATCGTACCAGCCTAAAGAAGGCAGTGTTCCTCACAGAGTGAGAAGGAAATCAGGTGAATAAACCACCAAGATGACAAGAAGAAAAACAGAGCTGTTTAGGGTTGGGTGAGGCTGGGCACTTAGAATTGGTCTGCAGCCTGTACTCCATGCAGATTTAACACAGCACAGTAACTCTCAGATACGGGTAGAGTATCTTATTAACCATTTGTTGTTTGTGTAACTTATTTTTTTATCCACTGTTTGCATTTAATTTCATGGATATACATTCCTAATGATGGATGCATAAAGAACAGTGTTACTTTCTAATGGCTAAAAGAATGCATATGCAGGAAAGCCAGTCACATTATTTAAATCTGACATTTTTCCCCCCACTCCAAGTAATTACTGTCTCAGAAGTGATTCCATCCTGATTGTGATAGGTTTGTTATTTCAAAGCATGATGACTATCTTTGCTTAGTGTAATGTCTGCCTTATAGATAATAGAGATTTGAGACGTGGTTATGCTGACTTTTGTGGGGTTTTTTTCTCCCAGCTCAGACATACAGCCATAATTACTGTTAGTTTCTTCTTGAAGCCACTACAAATGTCAGTGTATTTGGGTGACTTCATACTGCAGTCACTGTGTTCCCCTCTTCAGCTACTTAAAGACCTTTCCAATTTGGAGTGTGTAACATTGTGTATTGGGAAATGACTTAGGGTTCATAAGAGTATTGATGTAGTGATTTATCGTACAGCAGCATTGGTGTCTGAAAAATAATCAGATTTTTAATTACTTTTGAGGCATCTTCCTTTGTTTCTGAGGTGAAGGATTGCATTGGTGCTGCTTTGCCTGTAAAAGGAGTAATACAAAATACCAATCAATTGGCCTCCTATGTAACGTTCAGCTACTTATACTTTTAAAGCCTTACTAAGCTGTTGATACCTCATACTTATTTCTGATAGGTTACCTCCAGCAGCTTAGAGCAATAGCAGAGATGAGCAAGTCTTATGAAAGCAGGAATCTTAACATGGGATGAAAATTTATGTGTAGCTTATTGTATGGAGGGCAGCTTTTATTGCATTGAGAAACATGTATGGTTTTTGGTAACAGCTGTACGTTTGACACTTCAACAAATACTTTTTTCTGAGGAGATTGGGTGATTAAGAAATGAAAATCTGGCTTCCCTGCATGGGCTCAGAAGCTTGAATTTTGGTCTCTGTACTGTAAAAAGTTGGCCAAGGTACCCATAACTTTCTTTGGGACACTGGAGTGCTTAAACATGTTGTCTTTTTCAGAACCCTCATCGAGAGTCCATAAAGTTTTGAAGTCAAACGGTGAGCTGCTTTGTCTACTGTTTATTGACCCACCCCCTCTGTACTTTGTAGAACAAGTAAAGATGGATCCTTTTCTCCTATAACTTTCCCTGAACACATTGTGTGGGGGGAGGAAGTATGCAAAGAAAACAAAACGTTAGTGTTTAAATCTAACATCTGGTTTTCCACATTTGGGTTCTGGTCCTGTAAACACCCTAGCAGCTGGTAACTGAACACATAGAGTCTTGGCCATTGTGAGTACTTGCCCATATCATACCAGTGATGCAAAATCAGGACCTCAGGTGCACCTCAAGCCGTCTCATGCTTATCAGAGACCCTATAGTCTGTTTGCTCAGTTGCTGATGTATTTAATCCTCCTTTTGGGAATTCATAATTGGGATATTAGTGTAGCAGTAAAATGGGCATAGACTGACAGCAGTTTGATTAGTCATTTATGACAAAGTATGTATTTCATTTTTCAGACGTAAGTCCAGATATGCAGAAGGTAAGCCATTTCTTAGATTTCTTGGTTTAGCACATTCAAATGACTTAGATAACAGTATTTACTGTAGAATCTTCATCTTCTTGGTTGTGTTGATTTTAAGAATGGAAACAAAACCATAGATGTTGTTTAGCATCTCCAGTAAGATTATTGGAATGAAAGCAATAGAAATACAGCTAATGATTTCAGGAATTTCTAATAAAAAAAGACTGATCCATGTATTGGTCGTACTTTATAATACTATAGGGTAATTAAAAATACCACTATAATCACAGAAGTTCTGTGTATAAAGGTAGTGTTTATTCTTTGGAGCATGTCTTTGCATTTATTAAATAACACTGGAAAGTTTCAGCTTATTCTGATATATGTATCATATATTTAAATCATATATGACCAAACAGAGCCAATACACCTTAAGCAGATAGAAATGAACATTTCTAATTTTTACATTTTCTGTAAGTATTTGTAATTAAGTTCCCAGTGCAGTTTGAAAGTGTCATGTTGAATTTTAGACCCTAGGCTTTTATTTGGGATGGAATTTAAAGTGGGAGGTGTGTGGAAAATTTACAAACAGGGTAAATTAGATATGACTTCACCGGGATGCCATAACACTGAAGCTATGATTGGGGTGGGGGTTTTTGCATATTATTTTTTTTCAGGTCTAAATATTCTATGGAAAAATAATGATTGTTTTACTTATTTCTTTATAAATCTCATTTCAGTGCAGCTAACTGAACGTAGCTTAAACATTGCCGATAAGGCTGATGTAAAACTGTGCCTTGCTAAAATATAAAATCTCTATAAACTTCTAAACCAAGTTTTGTGGTGTTTTTTTTTAAGCGGATCGCTATTGAAGGGGCCCTGTTATCTCAAGCCACCAAACTAGGATCAAATGAAGCCCTGCTGAATTCTAGGAAGAAAGTTTCCTTGGAACCCAGTGGGCTGGAGAGCCAATTTCAAGAGTCCATTGAGCCAGCCTACAGCAGCGATCAAGACGAAAATCTCCAGACTTCTGCTACGGAACAGATTGATGCTGATGATGAAGAAGAGTCTGAACAGGTAGGAAAAAGAGGGGAAAAAAAATAAAATCCTTTTTTCCTGGGGATGATGGCAGAGAGATTAAAATTATCTGTAAAACTGCAAGGAGGTAGGAATCTGTTACAAGTGTTTGTAAGTCTTTCTCCTTAGAAATATTTTTATTTAGACATCACACAACATTCTTCTGCATTTTAACAGAGAAGATGTAAAAATTAGCCCCTATACAGAAGCTTAAATCCCCACTGCTTGAAAGGGATTTTACTTAGCCATTTACAGTCCTCAAGCCTAGTTTTAACAGAAAGCTATTGTTTTTACCCGTTCTGCACAACTGACCTTTCCTTGCTTCTCCAGCTGATGCCATGACAGAAACCTTTTTTTAGGCCACATGCAGAGACAGTGCCTGCGGGCGTCTGAAGCAGGGACTTGAGTATGAAGTTAAGATTCAGGCGCTGCCACGTGCGATGTGCTGTTGCTTGACCTGCAAGCTGCTGGCAGTAGATAGGAACGCGTGAACTTATAATATGAGATGTTGTGAGTAGGATTTCTGAAGATGAGAATCTTTTATCTCTGACTGTTGCACAGGCATTCGACAGGTGGTAGTTTTGCCCACTCTGCATGATGTTCCCATAAAAGCGTAGGACTTCTGAAAGACTAAAACACCAGTTTTGAAATGCAACTGTATTAAAGAATGTAGATTTTTCAGTTTGCTTTAGTTGATGCCGAGGTCGTGTCCTTGTGTGGTCCATTTAGTTTGTGAATTATCCAAAACCTATTATTGAAATTATTTTTGAAGCTTACTGCACGTTTCCTCTTCGAAATTATAGTATTTCCTTGTAAATCTTTGATAAAATAGTATCTCCTATCAGTGTAGTGCAGTGTCTTGTAATTCTCCCTTTTCCTGACATAACTACAAAAGAATGAGTAAGTGCAAAAGAATACCACTGTAAAAATGTGTAATAGTAGCTTACTGTTTAATCCTAGGTGTGGCAACAATGCCTTCTCAGATTCTCTCCGTTCCCACCATGCGTGCCATTCACTCCGAGTAATTTAAACACAGCTCAACATAAAACATTCTGGCCTTCTCTATGGTTTTGGTTGTTTTTTTCTGGGAAGTTGGATGACAGCGTATTTTTTTAGTTTAGACCTCTTTCTGGTTTTCAAGGCTGCAAGTGATAGCAAGACTATTCCGTCCTCATTTTAAAACCAAAACAAACTTCGAAAATTGAATTTTTGTGTGACTGTCGTCTTTTGTTACAACTTTGGCTGTGAAATTAAGCCCTTTCCCTCGTCCAATTCCCATGTATTCTTTTACATCTATATTTTTATAGGCAGATTCTGCTTTCAACCTCTTTTTACAAGCTGTGTGGATTGATTTAATTTAATTGGTTATATTGTAAAGAAAATTTTCTAGGCTCTGAATCGTTCCTGTGGCAGTGCTCTGGTCATTCATGAGCATTTTGTCCTCCTGGTGTGGATACCTGGCCTGTTCTAGCTGCTAGTAATTCTTCTGAACAAGACTGTACAAAGAACTGTAGATTGTACTACCCCTCCCTTGCTCTTTTCTTTTAAGTTACAGGGAGTGCAGCAAAACTCATTGCAGAAATCGAAAGGGGGAAGAAAAAGACTTAATAGTCAAGCTGCTGAAAACGTTGAAAAACGGCGAAGTGTTAATCTCAAGTGTGAAACGCAGGTATATACATTTTTTTTTTTACTTCTATTTTGCTATGCATCATAGATACATAAAAGAAATCTGTGTTTTTCCTAGATAGACACATAAATAATTTTCTGTTTACTAAAAGAAATCTGTGTTTTTCCTAGATAGACAGATAAGTCATTTTCTGTTTATGTCGTGTTAATTCATATCATTGAAATATTCATCTATATGAGGAAAAACTATTCTTATTTGGGGCAGGGGAAAAAAAACCAACCAACCAAACCAATTAGTGTTAACTTAAGCCAAAAGGAATTATCTTTCCCTCTCTTTCCCAACCTCTGGCCAGGAACAACACAGCATCCTTCATGTTAGCATTAGCAGGTATGTGGCCTTGCTGTAAATTAGATCTGCTAGCAGAGCTGGATGAAAACTTACTCCAAAAAGACAATGAAATTCCAGTGGCATGTGCTAGAGGGCATAACATACCTTTCTGCTGGGGTTATAGGCAAGAAGAAAGGGGAGAGAGCAAAACTTTTGGCACAAGCCCAGAGTCAGATTAGCTTAATCCAATTGTGAAACTGCAGAGTTAGCATAAAAGGTTTAATCTAACCCCTGCCAAACAAATTTGCCTTTAATTACTAATGCGTTAGCATGAGCCAGTGTCTTGCATTTGAAGTAAGGTGTTATTAAATGCCAAGAGTTAACTCTGAAGCCGTGGGAAGGATTAGGAAGCAAAGTAGTCCAGCATTGCCACCTTGGCTCCTTGGCTCTCTAGCAAGGAGCCTGCTCAGCCTGCCCACCTCCACCTGACTCCGTGCTGTGGGACACCCTGGTGCGATGGCAGTTCTGTGAACAGAGGGAGTCACTGTATTATGGCAGGGGATAGGCTAATGTTACCTGCATATTTCAAATCTCCACAGAGCTCCAAGGACCCTTCAGATGAAGAGTCAACCCAGTTGAATACTGATCTTCCATTTTCCTGCGCATCTAGACAGCCACAGCTGCCTAGACAATTCAGCACACCCCAGAGCAACTCGCTAATCATGAATATCCTGGGAGGGAGTACCTCTGTCAGAAACATCTGGACTGACCATCAGATCAGGCAGGCATTGTTTCCCAGCCGACGTCCACCTTATGAGAATGAAGATGATGAAGACGATTATCAGATGTTTGTACCATCAGTGTCTACAACCAATGCTAGTTCAGCTGTCGGTGGAGAAAGGAGAGGTTCTGGGCGTCCATGCAGCTGGCACTTGGGGGTAGCGCATCAAAATGAGACTTCCAGCCCTAGTCGTCACAAAATTGTTAGGCGGGCCAGTAGTGCTGGTGAAAGTAACACGTGTCCAGCCAGTGCAAGGTATAAAATCGGGGAGCGCAGTTCTCGAAGGGAAGTGAAGAGAGAGGAGGTGAGCAGTATGAATGCGTATCCCGAATCTTCAGAGGAGCTGACCCTTGATGATATTGAACATGTTTATGATAATATAAGCTACGAAGACTTAAAGCTGATGGGTTTGACAAGAAGGGAGGAGACAGACCGTGGTCCCCAGAGATCTGCTAGAGACTCTCTCTATGAGGCTGAAAACAAAAGCAGCTTAGATTCACCCTCCAGAAAGAGGACAGCAAATCAAAACAGGGCCTCCATCCTTGCTAGTAGGGATGAGATACTACTCAGAGAAGCACCTACTTCAAGTTTGGATGAGCTCAGGATCGTTGAAGACAATATCTATGACACGATAGTGCTTCCAGAAACACCACTATTGAATTTTAAATGTGACCCCTTAAAATGCTCTAAAAGGCGGAGCTTTCTAGGCCTGGAAAAAGACTTTGCATGTTGTGACAATCTACGGCAGTTTGTTTCTGAAGAGAGTCTCCAGTTCAGTGAAGATGAAAGTCCTTACCATCGTGTTCCTGTCGACAATGACTATTTGAGCTTAGTAGATAGCTCCTCCAACTCAGATTCACTCTCCCATAAATCTGCAGCAGATAAACTCTCGGAGGAAGTAGATGAGATTTGGAATGACCTGGAGAACTACATCAAGAAGAATGAAGAAAAGACAAGAGACCGTCTCCTTGCAGCCTTTCCTGTTTGCAAAGATGATATGCAGGAAAGGTTACATGCTGGTAGTACACCTGAACTGAGTAGAGATGTAGAGTACTCACTGTCTACTCTCTCTCTGCCAGAAACTCCTATTTTCCCTAAAACTGTGAAGCCCAGGGCTGCCACCATCAGCGAGGCTAATCTCAGGCTCGAAGACACCACGCCATGCAAGAACTCTTTTATGAGTCTGAACAGATCTTCCTTCTCCAGTGAGATGCCTTTTGTAGATAGCCCGTACGAATCTGCCAACAGTGTTCTGTCCAATGCTCATACAGAGGGCATGGAAAATGACTTGGCTGCTGTGGATAAAACAAAGAACAGGGTTTTTATGATGGCAAGGCAGTACAGTCAAAAAATTAAGAAGGCTAACCAGCTTTTGAAAGTTAAAAGTCCAGAGCAGGAACAGCCAGCTAGCAGACAACAAAAACTGAAACACAAGGATCTTGCTGCCATTCTGGAGGAGAAGAAACAAGGTGGTCCTGCTATTGGTATGTCAAAAATATTTCTATACAGATAATATTTCTTTAGTAACTTTCAGTGAAAGTTGTGTACTGAATTGGAAGATTACGAATTTTCCCCACCTTGCTAGTTGAGTATCAGTATTGCATTTTCTGTGTTACCACTGAAATGAGTTTTCTGTGACTGCTTGTAACATAAATAGTCCTTTATAACGCAATAAATTCTTGTTGTGTTTTGATAAAATTAGGAATAAATAGTGCGGTAGTGTCAGAAAAGACCCATTCAGCTTAGGCTGGAAATAGGACTTATGCTTGAAGTACTATTGGCCTCTTTACAGAAAAGCAATTATTTCCTTTAATAGTGTGTTCTTCAGAGTCTGACTAAAAGGGTGTATTTTCAGGTATGTTCACCTTCTAACAAGTCATGTAGGTTTGCTCAGGTACCATCCACATCACCCTTACGAGCATAAGGAATGGGGTCAGATAAGAAAGAGCTGATCTTCTTGCTCTTTCTAATGAATGTGTAAAGCTGTGGACATGCAACAGCTTTGGAACTATTTTTGTCCACAGTTAATTGAAACAAATTGGAGACATGGAGCCAGTGGGCTCCATGCGCTGGTGTCATTCTTGCCTTCTTGTGATATTTATAAATAAGTCCCTAAATATCTTATTTACCAGGCCATTTTCAGAATGTTCTTTTCCATTTTAACATGAAACAAGCAGCATATTATTTGAACCGCGTGCCACATTGCATCTTACATGACTGTTCACTGTTACAAGACATTTTATGCTTCCCTTTTTCAATGCAATGCAATGCCTGGCTCTTCCAGCCTCCATTGTTTCATGTTGCTTTGTTGAGGCTGAAGATACTGACACAGCTGAAAACTTTTCACTTGGCCAATACAAAGTGTTTGGGGACTTTTCAATTTTTATGCAACTTGTTTGAATGGATTGCTTGCCTCTGCTAAGTTAATTCTCTCTCCTTCCTAGGTGCCAGAATAGCTGAATATTCCCAGCTTTATGACCAAATCGTCTTTAGAGAAAGTTCGCCTAAGGTCCAAAAGGAAGCCTGGGCCACCCCTCAGGAGCCATCAGCCGGGTGGTATTCCACACCCCTGGCTGCATCTCCTCCCTGTTCCCAGGCTGCCAGTGAATGCTCAAGAGCAGAAGATTGGCTTTTGCATTCTACCTACAGTAACGGTGAGCTGGCTGACTTCTCTCCGTGGCCTGAATCCCAAGACCCAAAGCCCAAGAGCTCATATACAGAAGCTGGTACAAAAAGCAATTCAAGGCAGTTGCCATCAGCTGGCTCGGTGCCTTCCCTTCAGATTTCTAACCGTTTGCATGTTCCGGTGCAGAGGTGGAGTGCCATTATAAGCCAACCAAACAAAGAAAATTTACACCAAGATCACATCTACAACTCCCTTGGGAGAAGAGTAAGCAATGTAAAACCACAGGTGTACAGCAGGTCACAGTCATCTTCCTCAATTGTGGTCAACAGGGCTGGAGAAGCAATCGTGTATCCTAATGAAACAGACAAGAAAAAGCTCCATTCGAATAGGAGCTTCCGGTTCAACAGCCATCAAACACCAGGTATTGCTTTGGGATGTACGGGGCCTGATACGAGAAAGCAGATCCCTGAAAACTGTTCAGATATGATCCTGCAGGATTCCCAAAAGGTCCTGAGAGTGAACAGGCCCTCCCCTCTGACGGCGCAGATGGCCACTCAGAACTATTTTTCTAATTTCAAAGACACTGAAGAAGAAGGGGATGATGATGACTATGTTGAAATAAAGTCTGAAGATGAGGGATCTGACTTGGAGACCTCTCAGAACCAAACAAGGAACTCGGATCCTAAACTGCATACAGCAGACGCTGCTCCTTCTGAAACGCTCTGCGGCAAAACTGTCACTTGTACTCCTGCAAAGTCCACCAGCAGCAAACATGCGCTTACCCCGTATCTGACTGCGTATAGTGATTCGGATAAACTGAATGACTACCTGTGGAGAGTACCGTCTCCTAATCAGCAGAATATTGTCCAGTCTTTAAGGGAAAAGTTTCAGTGTCTCAGTTCAAGTAGTTTTGCTTGATGCTTTCAGTAATTTCTAGCTGTACTGCCTTATTGTGACAGAGTATATACTAAGACAATCAGTACTGGCATCATGTATTTCTGCAATATTACACAATCGGGCATTGTATCACAGTAATACTGTAAATAGATGTGAAATGTATCGCTTTTAAAATGATTTAGTAAGCCTGGAAGTGAAAAAGGCCACATGTGCACCGTGTCTGGGGTCTCACTCCCTAGTGCAGGTGGACTTCTCATCTCCTCTTCAACCTTTGCATCTCTTCCCTTGTCAGTTGTGATACCCTTTGATTCTTACCATTGAACCAGGTGTGATGCTGTTTGATTCTTAAACCATTTTATCATGTGGAAAACTTGGGATTTGGACTTGCAAGTTGGTGACTAGTGGTCTGCATCCAAAATACCCACCTAATTACTCTGGTTACATATGGGATTCAGCATTTAGCTGAGCAGCTACTCCTGTGACTGCAGATTTCTGAGCAGGGTTCTAGTAACTACACCAACGTGCTACCTGTGCAATTGCATATACTTTTTCCATGTTACTTTTTGACAGATTCCAAGGATGTGGGACCAATGCAAACACTACATTACTTTGGAATAGGCTTCTTATGTTTTGAACAAAATCTAGTCCTAGTGCTTGTGAGGGATTCCAGACTGATACCTCTGCGTCTGAAGCCTTTTCTGCTATCTGTAACTGCATAGCAGGCAGAGGACGGGCAGTGGCAGCTTTTTATGCGAACCTGTGGATGTGACGCGGTCCTTACCTGGAGGATGTTTTGGGCAGTAGAAGGGGAGCTCTGCTGCTTGTGAAGATGGCTAGACCAGGTTTGGTACCTCCGGTCATGGCGGTGTTCGTGACAGGCAGGCAAAATTTGAGTATCTCATAGCTCAGAGCCGAGCGGTTGAAAACCACTGTGTGTAAACTTGTGAGATAGCTGTCTTTTCTACACGGTGGCCTGCAATGTACTCATCTGAGTCCTAAAGTCAGTGACCCCGAGAGAGAATGGGGCTTGCCCAGGTGCTTGGGTGGAATATGGATCATGCGGCACGTTTGGCCCATAGGGTGTTTTGGCAATACTGCCAGTTGAGCGGCAAGCTACCTTCCCCAGGGAATGCATCTCCCGTTGTAGGACATGATCCTTCTTGGTAGAGAGGTGTAAAATACGTATTTTTTAAAAACCAGCCTGGCCTGAATTGAATCCAATTTGTGTACATTAAAAGTAGCTTAAGAAATGAGAATACATTCCATTCTTTGGCAAATAGTGTATAGAATAAATGCTGCCATTCACAAGAACAGGCTTTCCAATAGGATTCGCATTTATTCCCCTTCATCAATCTTTGTTGCACAGCTTTGGATTCTGTTACTTGAAAACATTGTATCTAAAGGAAAGCCTAAATATGTCTACACTGATCGTCTTGTGTGACCGTTGTTCTTTTTTGGTGCTGAAATTCTTCAGATTAAATGGATAAAGCCAGTACCGAGTTAAGCATATCACTAAATAAAGGAGTTTAATTGAAGTACTATTTTTACTAATCACGTATCATTCCCCTCAGCTACAGAGCACTGTGCTTCCAGAACAGCCGACTATTTACTCCATTGGTTACCATGAGGAAAACCTGAAGTTATCGGTGTACAGATAATTACTTGTAGACTAAGATTTAAGGACTTGAATTTGTTAGAACGGATTAAATTATTTACCACACGTATCTTGCATTGGCTAGGAATTGTTATTTTGGGGGCCGGTTGGTCACGGTACTTACTAACTCGTACCGCAAGGGATACTTGTTACAGTCAGCGCATCCGCTGTCATAGGACCCGCCTCTATCTAGTAAAATCCGATCGAGAAATAATGTTGTACATATTTAAGACGCCGAAGTGTAGCAGAGCCCGTATTTATTTAATATAGCTTGTAAAGTATTGTAAATATGAATAGAAGAAGTTAAATCTGTGCTTTACCCGCGCACGTCTAGATTTGTTTAAACGGCTAGGGGAATGTTGTTTAACTCCTGTCTCATACAATCAGTGGAGTTGGGAGGGGGGGGGAAATAAACAGAAAAAAGGGACTTCTACTAGCGTGTAACTTCTCCCAGGGACCATTTCATACTATTTTTAATAAACGTTGAGTATGTGCAAAAGCTTTGGGCTCCGTTTATTGGGGTCGCGGGGTGGGGAAGGGAGGATGTTTGAGTTTACGAGCGGGGGGAGAGGAAGGGAGATAATGATTCTCTGCCGGTCGGAGATGATGCTTGGGGGTGATTGGGATTTGTTTTCTTGCAGGCAAGCGGAAGCGAAAAGCACTGAGCGCCGGGACCGGGGCGGGAAGCGGGGCGAAGGGGAGGG